ATATGTGAAACATGAACTTCCAGATGTTCAAGCTGGTTTTTAAAAAGGCAGAGGAACCAGAGATCAAATTGCCAACATCCGCTGGCTGGATTATAGAAAAAGCAAGAGAGTTCCAGAAAAGCATCTATTTCTGCTTTATTGACTATGCCAAAGCCTTTGACTGTGTGGATCACAATAAACTGTGGAAAATTATGAAAGAGATGGACATACCAGACCATCTGACCTGCCTCTTGAGAAATCTGTATGCAGGTCAGGAAGAAACAGTTAGAACTGGACATGGAACAACAGACTGGTTCCAAATAGGAAAAGGAGTACGTCAAGGCTGTATATTGTCACCCTGCTTATTTAACTTCTATGCAGAGTACATCATGAGAAACATGGGGCTGGAAGAAGCACAAGCTGGAATCAAGATTGCTGGGAGAAATATCAATAACCTCAGATATGCAGATGACACCACCCTTATGGCAGAAAGTGAAGAGGAACTAAAGAGCCTCTTGATGAAAGTGAAAGAGGAGAGTGAAAAAGTTGGCTTAAAGCTCAACATTCAGAAAAGATCATGGCATCCAGTCCCATCACTTCATGGCAGATAGATGGGGAAACAGTGGAAACAGTGGCTGACTTTATTTTTCTGGGCTCCAAAATCACTGCAGATGGTGACTGCAGCCATGAAATTAAAAGATGCTTATTCCTGGGAAGGAAAGTTATAACCAACCTAGACAGCATATTAAAAAGCAGAGACATTACTTTGCCAATAAATGTCCATCTAGTCAAGGCTATGGTTTTTCCAGTGGTCATATATGTATGTGACAGTTGGACTATAAAGAAAGCTGAGCACCAAAGAATTGATGCTTTTGAACTATGGTGTTGGAGAAGACTCTTGAGAGTCCCTTGGACTGCAAGAGGATCCAACCAGTCCATCCTAAAGATCAGTCCTGGGTGTTCATTGGAAGGACTGATGTTGAAGCTGAAACTCCAATACTTTGGCCACCTGATGTGAAGAGCTGACTCATTGGAAAAGACCCTGATGCTGGGAAAGACTGAGGGCAGGAGGAGAAGGGGACGACAAAGGATAAGATGGTTGGATGGCATCATCGACTCAATGGACATGGGTTTGGGTGGACTCCAGGAGTTGGTGATAGACAGGGAGGCCTGGCGTGCTGCGGTTCATGGGGTTGCAAAGAGTTGGACACGACTGAGCGACTGAACTGAACTGAGGACAAGGGTGAGTCAACACTGACTCCCACATTTCTGGTTTAGGCAACCTGCACCTTGACCCCAGATGGGGAACATCTGGGAGGAACCAGGCAAGCTGGATTGGCAGAGTAGGTGGTCCCTAGACCAAATCAACAGAAATATGGAAGAGTTCTCAAAATCTTTGTGCCCTGACTCCTCTGTGCCCAAACTCTAGCTTGGTCAAGTATACTTGTCCAACCTCATCTCCAGCTATCCCAACAGCTCCTCCCCAAAGCCCCAGTCTTCCTTCTCAAAGGATACTTGTAAGTTCTATTCCACTCCTTCACCCCTCCTTGAAACTCGACAAGATTCAGCTTCAAGGACATCTCTGGGATACCTCCCCATTCCCTCCACCCCTTCCTGGGGTTAACATGTTCTCTGCTGTTTCCAGGATTCATTGGGTCAGAAATGTTTCTCTGCCTGTCTCTCCTAATGGCTGTTTTTCTCAATTCTAAATCGCCGGCACCTGGGATAAGGCCAGGATCAAGGTTAATTTAAAAAACAACAACGTTGTTTTATTGGTTTCTCCAAGGACTTGTCTTTCTTGCATTAAGTGTAGGGCCAAGAGTCAGACCTTGAATCCTGATGGCACCACTTAACAGACTGGACAGGTCACTTCTTTCAAATTCTGTTTCCTCATCTGTCAAATGGAGATGATAATACAGTGGACCCACCTAGAAGAGCTGTTTAAGGGTCAAAGGAAATAGTCTATGTTAAGTGTTTAGCACAAAGCCTGGAACATTATTAGCTTCCTCAAAAGATTTAACTCTTATTTACATTAAGAAAAAGTCTTCCTGCCTTAACTCCGGCAAACGGTATAAGCGGAATCGAAGGTTGCAGTTCCTACTATGGCCACACGAGGGAAGTGGTGAGCAGCCTTGGCACAGACTGGCTCCGCTGTGCGAAGGCACCTGCTGCGGACCCAGATGGCCGGGCTGGGATTTCCGGGGCTTCCCGGCCCCTGAACAGGTGGGCTCTGGCCAGGGTGCCGTGGGAGGAGCCTTCGCGATGTACTCTGCCTTGACTGTCACAGTCACATCCGTCCCTTCTGCTCATGCCCTTCGCAGCTTGGGGGAGGGGCTGGCAGGCCAGAGGGGCAAGAGGGCCTGGAATGTAGGCCTTCCAGTTTGTCTTTCAAACTTGAATATGATCACACTTCTCTATACAAATTTTTACAGTTTTATAATTTTTATAGTCAAATTTACCAATGTTTTCCCTTTGGTGTACAGGTTTCACCATGCTTAGAAAAATCTTTTCCATTCCATCCAGATTGTGAAAACATTCAGTTATTTTTCTTCTGGTACATTATGGCATTATTATTTAAATATGGGAGCCACCTGGAATTTATATTACCTGTGTAGGGTAAGAACACAGCTTTCTTGTATTTTCCCAAATAACTTGCTTGATAGTCCACCTATTTGTTTAAAGGCCTATACTGAATTTCCTCTCATTTACCTGAAGTTCTACCTTCATCCAACACCAAATTCCCCTGTGTGGTTGTCCATTTCTGCTCTCCATTTTGTTTCACTGATTCCTCTAGGTCTGCTTCAATACCATACTGCGTTGAATACACTGGCTTTAGAATATGGTTTTTGTTTTATTTATTTTTGGCTCTGCTGGGTCTTTGTGGTTGCTTGGGCTTTTCTCTAGTTGCGGCTAGCAGCAACTACTCTCTAGCTGCAGTGCAAAGGCCTCTCATTGTGGTGGCTTCTCTGGTTTCAGAGCATGGGCTCCAGGATAAGCGAGCTCCAGAAGTTTTGGCACATGGGCTCAGCAGTTGTGGCTCCTTTGCTCTAGAGCTCAGGCTTAATAGTTGCTGTGCATGGGCCTAGCATGTGGGATCTTCCCGGACCTGGGATTGAACCCATGTCTCCTGCAGAGGAAGGTGGATTCTTGACCACTGAGCCACCAGGGAAGCCCCTTGGCTATGTTTTAGTATCAGGTAAGGTGCGTCCAGTGGTTAGGACTGGGCACTTTCACTGCTGAGCACGGCTTCAATCCCCAGTCGGGGGAGTAAGATCCTACAAGCTGCGCAATGCGGAGGGTGGGGGGGAAATCAGGTAAGGCAAATGCCTTTTCATTCCTTCTTTCTAGCTTTTTTTTTTTTTTTTTGTCCCTGCTTGTTTATTCTCCTGCGTGCACTTAAGGATCAACCTCTATCCCTCCCTCTACCCCCTGCCCAATCTTCTAGAAGCCATTATGGAGCTTTGGAGTCCCTGAAATTATGTAGAAGTGTACATATGCACATTTCTCCAGAAGGAGTGTCCAAGTTTTCATCAGATGTGCAAAGGGACCTCAATTCCCAAGGGAGCCACTGGTTTGCACGGCTTTGTGATGGGACACATGGGAGGAGCACAGAGCAATCTGGATTCCTCCCATCTCTTCCACATCGTCACAGACTCTGCTCTCCCTGTCCTTCACCTCCACCAGCCCCAGGAGGGTTGTTTTTATTAAATAATCCCAGTCATTTTCCTTCCCCCTCCCCCTCGCCTTTCCATTCCCCGGTCACTTTGTAATCCATGCCCTCAGCTGGGAGACTACTTGCTTTGCCTGCCTTCAGGGAACAGTTAGGAAGGCAAATAGTAATAATACTGGCGCCTCTGTAAATCAGTGAATTTAGAACACTGGAGCCCTCCAAAACACTGGAGCAACACTGGAATTGACCAGCTGAGCAACATGAGGCACAGGAAGATGGGACAGGCACGACTCTAGGAGGGACTGTATACAGTGTCCTTGAGTCCCAGTGCTCGGGGAGCCCACTTGGAAGCTCCAGTTAGGCAGAGGCAAAGTCCTAGGGCAGGGCTTTTCAGCTTTGGCGTTAGTGACATTTGGGGGCGTCCTGTGCATTGGTAGATGTCTTGCAGCAGCCTTCATTTCTTCTCACTAGATGCCAGTAGCAATCTCAGATGTGAACACCAAAGATGTCTCCAGACACTCTGGAGTTAGGGCAAGCAGAATTACCCTAAGTTGAAAACCACTGCTCTAGAATCAGAGGAGGGTGGAGGGGAGGGGGTTAACTTGGGTCTCAGGGCAGGACGCTACTCTCTTACCCTCTGTCTGAAAGGGACACCGTAGTCTTTTTCTTTATAGCAGGCACTTGGGCAAGCCTTCTCTCCTCTCTGGACTTCAGGTTTTGCATCTGTAAACTGGATTTGAAGTCTGTAGATCATTTCCCCCTTCTCTCACCACCTGACATTCCTGGATCTGGTCCACGGTGTGACAGGGGTCTCGTGGTGCCAGTAAAGTCCTGGGAGATTCCCCAGAGAGAAGAAAGATGAGAAAGAACAGAAGGACGTAGAGGTGAGAGCGGAGGAGGGGCCGGGAGACAAGCATTAGCAGGAGCTTTCTGGAGAAAAGTTGAGACTTGGGGTGTCCTCTGACCACGCCCCTTCGAGGCCTTATTAGCGTGGGTCGCCCCCAACCAGGCAAACCGAGACTCTCCAGATTCCCTTAGGCCCCGCCCACCACCATAGGCCCTGCCCCCACCTGCCCCGCCCCCTTCAATGGCCCCAACCCCGCCCCCACCAGGCCCCGCCTCCCTCTTTGCCTCCCGCCAGCCGGGGCTTGGGCTTTGCACCCGGCGGCGGCTGAGAACAGTGGCGGCTGCGGAGCCGGCAGCGCAGGCGGGCGGAGCGGAGGTGCCCGGCCCAGTGGCGGGCGATGCCCCCGTGAGCCTCTCTCGTCGCCCCTCCCGCCCCGCGCCCCTGCCCCTCGGAGTCCGCCGCGCGCCTGGGACCGGGCCGCGCCTACCGCCGGGTCCGCGGGGCGGGGTCCCGGGGCAGCACCTGCCCCGCCTTGCTGAGTCTCCTGGGCCCGCCGAGACCCCTCCCTGTCTGGACCCCGGCCCCACCTCCGGGTAAGTCGATAGGCCTTGCTTGCCTAGGAATGGATGTGGGGAGGGGATGGCGGAGGTCCGCGGGACCACGGGGCGGGGGAAGGGTCTCTGATGGTGAGGCGCCACGTAGGGACCTAAGTGTTCAGGGTCTAGGGCGGGGGTTTCGGGAAGGATGACAGTGTGTGTAATGACTCGGGGGGGTGGGGGCTAAGGTTTGGGAAGGGAACATTAGGTGTTTGGAGAAGCCCGGAAAATGGAGTAGAGGGCCCCAGAGTCTTGAGTTCTTTGCTGATGCTCAGAGCACCTGGGCCCCTGCTCCTCAACAGCATTGCCTTCCATGGCATTTTTGGAAAGTGCTTAAAATCTATCCTGGAAAGGGAGCTGGCAGGCAGCCTGCCTTTCTTTTTGCTGTCTGTGCCCTGGTTGAGAAGCTGGCCACTCTTTCCTCCAATGAGACATCATGGTGGTGCCTAGAGGACCCCCCCCACCCCACCCCCACCCCATATAAAGAAAAGGGGTAATGCCCACTCCAGCCCTAGCGTGGGGAGAGGGGACTCCTGGGAAGCCAGGAAAGGCAGTTGGTTAATCCATGGTGGGGAATCCAGGGTTCAGGGAGGCTTGGCAAGACCCTTGGTGCACGAACTGGGCATCCTCTCATTCAAGAGGAGGGTGTTTTCACCTCCTGGCCCCAGGATGCCTGGACTCATGCCCATATCACCTTCTCTGGACAACCCATCCTGAGGAGGGGTTTCTTCCCAGCACCCTGGGCCTGGAAACCCAGGGAAGGCCCATAGCCCCCGTGGTCCTGGCTGGGGAGAGCAATGCCATCCCAAGGCCAGAGAACAGGGTGCTGGCTGCCCTGCCACCTGGGGGCTCTCTGAACGTGGCCCTTTGCAGCTGGGGAGCCTGGATGAAGATCACTGTCCAATTCCAGCCCCAGGGGTGTGGTCTGGATGGAGAGAGGAAGGCTGCCACCCCTTTGGTCCAGTCTTCTGCACATGATGACTTAAGTCTGGGGTCCTTGAATTTGGGGCCTGAAGTGATGGGGCAAGGGCCTTTTGGGGCCAGGCCTGGTCACCAAGGGGTTAACTAACCAGCTCCACCGTTGCTGCCAGCCACCAATTAGTCTGCCATCAGGCAGCTGCCAACTATCCCTGGGGGCATGTGGGCAGCCTAATGGGGCATTCTCTTGTGGAGGTGAGGCAGGGGGAAGGAAGGGGTCTGTGAAATCTGTGCGCAGCCCAAGCTCTGTGTCCTTCAGAGCCTGTTTAGGGCCCACAGACCCCTTCCCCGCCCTCTGTCCGGATGCCTGGCTTAGAGACCTCCAGCCCTGAGGTTCCATACCTACCCTACCCTCTGCAGGGAACAAAGCCCAGAGTCAGGCAAACTTGGCTTCCAACCCAGGCTCTGCCACTTTCTGGCTATGCGCTATTGAGGAAATCACTTCTCTCTGAGCCTCCTTCAGTAAAACATACCCACCTTCTAGATCTGCTGGGAGGAGAAAATGAAATGGTGGATTTGAGCTGCTTAGCACAGAGGCTGGCACTCAGGGGAGCTCAGTAGGTAACTGCTGAACTCCTGAGCAAGCCCAGGGCCAAGGACCCGACGGGACAGGCAGACAGGAGCCCAGGGCTGAGGACTCAGCAGGGACCAAGATCCCATCCCTTGGGGCGTGAGGTCTCAGTGGGCCAGGCACTGTCTCTGCCTGAACTCTCCCTCCCTCCTCGCCCACAGACACTTCTGGCTCTCTGTACATAATTGGATTTTACTGTGCGGAGCCCGGGGCTGAGCTGCTCCTTTCTGGGCGTGCCCTGTCCCTAACCAGGTGCTAAGCTCTGTGGGGTCTGTCAGGGGTCTGGGTGATGCCTGCAGCTGGAATAGCAGCTGGCCCTTTAAGGAGGGAAGAAAACAATTATCTGGCCCGGGCATTGCATCAGCTGGAGGCTGGAGGGTCCCTGGGGAGAAGGGGGCAGGCTGGTGGTTGATTTCATTAGTGCCATGTGAGAACTCTCACCCGGGTCTATCCCACTCCCAGGCTGCAGCCTTGTCTGCCCTGGGCAGCAGCCGAAACCCAGCCCCACTGACTCTCCTACCCCACCCCACCCCACCCCACCCCCCACCTCGGGAGCATCACCTTGGAGGACTTTGTATACACCCAAGACATGCAGCAGGAGATAGGGAAGTGTCTCCCACACTGGCCTTTTTGCCGACTTGGGGTACGAGAATGCTTCCTGTATCTGCATTGTGCTGACAGTTAGGGGTGTCTCCCCTTCTACTGTTTGGCTGACCCGGGGCGTGATTCTCCCCCACTGGCATCTTGTTAACTCAGGGGAGGGGTGCCTTCTGCTCTGGCTTCTCAGTGACGGTGAAGCTGTCTCCTGCCCTGGTGTTTTGCTGACCTGACAAAGGAGCTATGCTGCCCGGGCTGTGTGTGAACTGAGGCCATGAGTTAGAAACAGTTGCTCTCTGGCTGGAGGTGAGCTGCCTGGGAATAGTGAGTGAGTCACAGAGGCAGAGAGGACTCCAGGTTCTTGGGCACCAGAGAGACCTGGGTTCAGGACCCACATCCTCCACTTCAGCCTCTGTTATACTTCAGGACTCAGACGTCTCTGGAAAATAGGAATCATTTACACCCATACTGCCCCACCCCATCTGGAAGATGCTTGGTGAATTCAATGTAACTGGATGAACAGCCCTTAGCCCAGGACTGATGGATGGAGGGTGCCGCCTATGTGAAGATTCTCTTGTCTTTGTAAATTTGGGCTCCTCACACCTTGAGTTCAGGATGCCTGGACAAGAAAAGGAGGGTTGGGGAGGCGAGGGGGGAAGGGGAGAAAGAGTACAGGGCCCTTCTGCGTCTGTCTCAGGACACCTGATGCACTAACCTCTGTGTGTCGGGCAGCTCCTAACTCCATGGAGTGGGCGTTCTAGCCGGAGATGGCCCAGAGCAGGTAATAACACATGTGACATGTGTTGGAAAAAAGAGATGCAGGTAGGCTAGCATGACAAGGAGTTGAGGAGGCAGAGGAGGAGGGAACTGCGTGTGCTAAGGCCTTGATGTTGCAGAAACAGGCCTGGCATGGTGGGGAGGGCAGGAGAGGGGAGGGAGGGGACAGGAGTCAGCACAGTCAGGCCAGACCTCCTGGTCTGTCTAGCAGGACACTAAAGACTTGGGAATTATCCTGAAGCTGATGGCAGCCTCTAAAGATTCTGAAGCAGAAAGAGCAAGGGCTAATTTCCAGAGCGTGCAGGCTGGGGCCTGTGGCCCTCAGGCAGAGCCTTCTTGGGGGTGACCTTCTGCCCTCTCATACCCCTTCCTTGCACAGCAGCCTGGGTGCCCAGGGAGCAAGTTGTTTATGTGATTCATTCTGGGGGAAAGGAGGCCAGTCCCAGTCCCTTCAGCTCCCTCTCTCTGGGCCTTGTTGACGAAGTTTATCTCTTGGGCCCATGTTCTCCCAACCTCCCTGGGGAACCAGAGCATAAGAGGCAGGGCTTTGGCACCAGGCAGGCGTATATTCACATCCCAGCTCTGCAGTTCATGGGGGTGGGGAACCTCTGGCAAGGCACACCTGTCTCTGATCTTCAGTATCCTCGGCTGTGTTGATGTTATGTGTCCATTGAAAGGATAAAATGAAATTCCAGATGGAAATCACAAAACCCTTTTGCAATGTCAGTTGGCATTTTAACTCTTGCGTTGAGGCTGACCTTGACTCCAGGCCAGGCCCTGGGCTGGCAGGGGGTGGGGGCAAGGCTGGATTCACCAGTCTGTGGTTGCACAAGGCAACCTGTGCTTGGAAGGACCCCACACTTCATTTAAATATTTAGCTGTCACCATCTTGCAATTCTTAATAATTTTGAACAAGGGGTCTTGCTTTTTCATTTAGCACTGGGCCCTGCGTATTATATGACCCCACAAACGAAGTTGGAGTAGGAAGAGGCGGGGAGCAATACAGACTGCAAATAGTCCCCAAATGGAGGAGGTGTGAGGTGGAGGGCATGACTAACTGTCCCAAGGTGGGTGGGATGTTAATAATAGTAACATTTATTTAGTGCTTACTGTGTGCTGGGTTCTCTGCTAAGCACTTGACATCTTCAAACAGCCCTATGAAACAGTTAGGGAGATTGTATAGATGGTGAGAGTGAGAGTCAGTTTCTTGGCCAAAGTCACACAACCATCAAGTGACAGAGCTGGGGTTCCAACCCCAGGATGTCAGATGGAAGAGCACATGCTTGGACCAGGGAAGTCTTCACCAGGATGAGCTGGGTCTGCAGGGTAACTTGAAGTTTGCCGAGAAGGAAGGAGGTGTGTGGGGGAGGGAGGGCTATCTCAGCCGGGAAGTGCCTGTGCCCAGAAGTAATACTTGGCCAGGAGAGATGGAGCTGAAGCCAGATGCCTCCCAGGGTTGAGAGGTGGCCTTTGGATTTCACGGTTCTGATTCTCCAAGCTCAGAGCTTCTGGTCCCTCTGCTCCCAGGCCCTGCTGTGACCACGATTCCTCATAGCTGTCCTGTACTGCCCACTCTTCCCCCACTCCCGGGTAATCTCCTTGACTCGACTTTAATCTCTTCTGGGCTCAAGACCTGTCTGACTACTTCATGGACCACATTTAGATGTCTCACTGTCAGTCTCAGGTGGAAACTCGGGCCCCAGCTCCGCCCGCTGGCACCTGCTCTGCCTCGTGTCCCCAGCTTGTCTCTGCCACCACCAGCCACCCACTTGCTCAAGCTGGAAAGCTGGAAGTCCTCCTGGACACCTCCCTCTCCTTCACCCCCACATTCCACAGCCGGTCCTCAGCAAGTGCTGTTGGTTCTCCTGACTCCCTCCCCATTCCGTCATCTTTCTCTCTGTCCACTGCCCTGCTCCAGCCCAGCCTCAGCTCTCAACCTGGACCACAGTGACGGCCTCCTAAACTGGTCTCCTGACGTTTCTGTTCTTGCCCAGCTTCATTTCATGTTTCACACTGTAGTCAGAGTGATCTTCTAAAGATAAATGTTTGATTCTGTCATTTCCCTGCTTAAGAC